TGCCCCAGAAGGTGTGCCGTGCTAGGAGTCGAAAGGTGAGAGGTTGTGAGCATACCAGGCGGGGCTCAAGGCCATATGGCAGCAGGCTTCTGAAAAGGGGGCAGCCCCAGCACTCACCTTCAGAGCTCAGATTTGCTCTCTGAACTCAATGGCTGTTAATACACGTGGGGAAACAGAGCAGGGCTGAGCCAGAAGGGGAGGCAGCGAACAGTAGCTGTACAAGGTACGTTCATTTGGAAAAGGAATATAATGCAACAGCCTAGTGTGGCAACAGTCCCTTTAATGCAGGTTAGGACCTTGTTACCCTTTGTGCTTCAGCTGCACCTTCCTTTCAGGGATTTCCAAGGATCTTACAGGCACAAGTGAGCTGAAACACATCTATCTACCTAGGGATATAGCAGAATGCTGTTTTTTCCTGTGATACAAAGCCTGAGATACAGCGAAATGACTGACTCAAAGCCAGAGATGGTTGAAACCATAGGGCCGCTTTTTGAACACCCGCCCGTAGGACACTAATCGTCTACAGAGAAGGAAGGAGGTAGATGAGCCAAACCTAATGACAGTAAAGCAGGCAAGCGGGTTGCCGTGAATGCAAGTGGAAAGAGTTGTTTGGAAAGCCATGTGGATGCATTTCGGCCGTTGGATTTGGGACCTGCATTTCCCCGAGATCCACAACCAATGAAGCCCCATGCTGTCCACACCTGGAAGCCACCATCCTCACTGCTCCAAGGGCACGATGCTCCCAAGTGGGGGAGAGGGCCACGTGGGGGGCTGAAGTAAGCTTTCCCCTCTTGCAACCAAGGATGATGTTACACAAAATAATTTAGCTCATCAGAAATTACACCCTATTCAACTGGAAATGCTTATATGCTCGTTGAGGGCAAGACCTCAATCAACCTACATGCGATTGCGCTAAAAAAGAGTTAAACTGCAGCTTCCTGGCCTAAGCACAGAGTGGGTTTAAACAAAGAAGCGCTACTAGTTCATGCAGGGTTGCTGTGATCCCTCGGCAGGTGTCTCAGCAGCTCTGATGTGCCTTGGACCACAGCAGGCCAAAGGAAAATGTTCCCCCTGGGAACAGCAGCTTGATCAGGCAGCACGAAGAGGCGAGCGCTCACGAAATGATTTCGTCCAGGAACTGAGCTAATCTGCAAAAAGAAAAAAAAGGGGTCCCCTGCTACCCCAATGTCTTCCACTCTTGGAAGAAGAGAGAAAAGACTTGACACGCCAAAGCTTCGGTCCTCTCCCCAGTTTCCTCCTCCACTTTTCTGCGGTGTCTGTTACTGATGGGAACAGGAACTGGTCCCGGGTCTGCAAAGTGACATGGTAACGCCAACTCCCCTATTTATTATCTCTCTCTCTCAAAGACGCATCTCGGATTTGTAAGACAAAAGGCTGTGCTGTGAACACTTGGGCTCTGAACGGCAAGCTGTGCTCTGCCTGGCTCAGCCATCACCGCGATTCTCCAAGTCCCTCGTTCGGCTAGCAGGCCTCGTGCTAGCTAGTGTTTTTCCTAAAGCCCCTCCTTCTGGTACCCTGGGATTGATTAGGAGAGACCCTCAAGCATCTTTGTTCTCAAAAAGTCTGCTTCTAGCCTTTGTGGTCCTGGAGACAAAACTTGCAAAACAAAAGAGTTGAAAAGCTCAAAAACCAGAAGGCAAACATGAAGAACGTTACATTCGATTGTTGTGTTTGACCATCATGATTTCATAGCAGTCCTGTGATATTTTGGCGGGGCAGACGCATCATATTTAAAGGCTTGGTGTCCAATTAATAAAGACTGGTGCTTAGCTGGCATTTGATTGCTGAGGTGTAAGGTGGAACAACCCGTTCCACCTTGTTCCCCCATCGCTCTAGTAGCAATGCACAGCTCTCAGGAGAGAGGACTTGAATTCACCTGTAAGGTGAGCAGGTGTCACCCAGGAGATGCACACTGCTGGAAAAGGAGGTGCCCGTAGCTCTCCGACAACATCCTTGTTCTCTGCTAATGAGCAAAATCCAAGAGGATTGGTTAACTTGCCCTGCAGAGGTTTCCCCCAGCTGACCGCTTCTTCCCTTGTTCCAGTGCCGTATTTTGGGGCATGTAAAATGAACTTCCTGAAAAAACTAGAGAAACGTTTAAACCTGACTTGTCTGACTACACCCTCTTGCCAGATGCACTCTTTAGCTACCTTCCTCATAAGATGAACTGTGCTGCTGATCCCAGGTCATTAATTCAGCCTGCAGCTTTCATGTCAAACGCCTCTGCCGTGAACTAGGTCAGGTAGCTTGTTTCCAGACAAGGCCACTATCTGACTTTTTAATTTTAAAGAGAGCAAAAGAAAAGACTCATACCAACTACGTTCTAGTAATGACATAAAGGGTAATTATATATGGTAAGAGATTCCCCGGAAACAGTAATTAGGGCAATAGCTAAGAAAATACTTGGTGCCTGACAGGTGAAATGTATGTGGTCAGGCCAACAAAATCTAACATCCAGAATTGCTGGAGAGGAAGGGTCAGATCCGACAATGACAAAGCAGCTTCTATTCGTCGAGGGTAAAACAGCAAATTTCAAGTGGTCTGCAAAAAAAAAACCCAACAGTTTGAGAACAACTGCTCTAATCCATAATGATGCTGAGGGTCTCGGCGGACCACTTAATAACCTTTTCTTGTTCTGCGGATCAAAGCGCGCACAAGTCACATTGGAGTATCAGTAGTCTTACCTTTCGAATGCAACGGATGGACCTGGGTTTTTCTGAGCAACGTTCGGGGAAGTCGGGTGTAATGTTGGTCAGTGTTAGCCTTAAGTCACCTTTCTGTGGACCACCTGGATGGAGCTGGTGGACCAGTGGCGGTCCACGGACCACGGTTTAAGAACCTCCGAATTGGAGGAAAACAAAATTCGTCCCTTAGGAGCTTAGAAGCGACGAAGGATTTCTGACGGGGACCCAGACCTCACAGCACAAAGAGTAAACACGGGGCACAGAACAAGAGATCTAGAAAAAAATGCTGTAATGGTACTTGCCAATTGAAGCCACCAGAAGAGATGGATGCAGCAGCACCTGAGGGCTGGATGCCCTGCTGGAAGTTACGCTGCAGACATGGGGCTCAAGGCAGGGATCGTAGGCTGGAAGTGAGAGGCCAACATTATACAGGTCAGACTAGATGCCTGAAGGCTGCCTTCTGGCCTTAACGATGAGTTCACTGTATGTTCCCGCCCATCCCCGTGTCAACAAGTGATGCCGCACATTGGGCCTTGCTCTTTGTCCTGTTGAAGTCTTCACTGGAGAGAAGAGGATCAGGGGCTCCTGTTAGCGGACAGGATTCCCTCCTAGAGCCCGATCCTGTAACATCACTTACCGACAAAACTCTCACCAACATCAGCAGGATCACTGCCCACGGTTGGATTGCAAGATGTCACGCGGGAGGCACTGCTGATGGTGCTGGAAGAGAAAGGCAAGACCCGGGTGAAACGCATGAAGGTTCATGGCGCGCACAAACGCCGATGCACGTTTTCCTGCTTAGCTTAAGGGTGGGCGCTTGGGGAACACAGGGTGGGCAGCAGCCACCAAGGAAGTTGGCCTTATTCCTTTTGTGCTGATTTCACCTATTTGTGTGGTTAGCTGCTGAGCCTGCTGCACAACCATCTATTTCGACCCTGCCTGGGGGTTCACCAGCTGGATGGGCTTTTTATGATATGCGAACAAGACAATAAAATATATCGCTTTTGCTCTTCTGTGCAGATGCTTAATCCCTTTGATTTTCCATGCACGTGGGGACACTGTTTATGACACGCACCGATCAGGAAGCAAGGAGCTACTCACCCACGTGAACGTTCGCCGCTGCTGGAGCAGCTCACCCAGACTGAGATCCATCACAACAGTTATCCCACGTCCTGCCACGCCAACCCTTGTGCATTGAGGTGAACTGGCATGAATTGCTTTTCTGGTCTTTATAGGCGAGTTTCCTGCCGCCTGTTTCTTTGGTCTCCTTCCCTGTCCTGCTGGAATCTCCTCGTGCAAGGTTTCATTGTACAGCCCAGCAGATTTTCTTAAGAAGTTCTTTGAGAAGAAATGAATAGCTGTCTGGACAACAGAAATAGCTCCATGAGATGGGCTGCTGCTTAAAGAGGAGAGTGCTTCGGTGGTTCAAGATATTTCAGCATGTCTCCCCTCAACTGTATTCATTCCATGGCTTCTCCATCATAACCGCACAGTGTCACCATTTGGGTTTGGGGTGCATCTCTCTTTGAAGAGAAGTCTGGAAACAAGTGAAAGGCTAAGAATGGTCATGTCAATCTGTTAGGAGCGCAGGACTGTAAGGGACCCCCCCTTCCCACCCTGGGCCTGCAATCATTTATCCAAACTGCTTCAACCCTCAGATACAGCTACAAGGTGCAAACCCAGGAACACCCTATAACATGCCACAGGCAAAAGCAGGGGAGACAAGGACACTGCCAGCTCCCTGTCACTGCAGAAATTGGAAATAACCAAATGAAACCATCTAGGCACCCCTGGGAAGGATGTTTCCACATGAACCCAGTTGCAGGGACAGACAGGGGTCACACCCCAGCAAAGGAAGCGTATGTTATAGGTCCCGTCTGAATGCACTCAGAACCACTTCCCTAAAAGAGAGCCAGACGCGCTGCTCCTAATGTCGCCAAAATCGGCTCCACGCTCCTGCCACATTCGTTCTCCACCCAAAGAAATCCCAAATTCACGGGACAGCTTTAACGGCAAAACAAGCACCACCATTCTTTGAAGGCTGGCACACAAAACGGCCAAAGACCGAGTGGTTGTAATCGCAGGCCCCCGGAAAGCCGAGCGCCCCGGAGCAATTTCAGGACAAAGGCGGCTCCGCAGCAGAAGGGTGCGAGCTTGGGTGCTTCCCTTTGTTTCTGGTTTCACCATCTCACGGTAAAAGGAAATGATGCGGAGAAATCTTCTAGTAGCCTTGGAAAACCCTGCTCTGAGCACAGCCATTCCCTTGTGCACGTGGCTCTCAGGTGCCCCCTGAGAGCCCATCTCCGACATCTTTCTTGGCCACTGGGGTCCTGCAGACCCTGGGACCGGTGCCACTGCCCTCCCAAGCCTGGAGTTACTTGGACAGGTTGCTATCAGAGTGCTGATTTCTTAATCACATCCTTCAGCGGCAACGTGGTGATTAAGAAAACCTCACAGGTTTTAGCAAAGGAATTTCTTCACCACCTGCACTCGGTAGTCCTGAACCCCCCACAACCCACAGCTTCATCTCACCCTGTCTGAAGCCTGGGTCCGAGACAGAGATGGGATTGAAGGGAAAACCGAGTGCCCTTCACCCAGCCGGGTCTGCTTAGATGTGCAATATATTGCTTGAAAAAGCACCTGCCCTTCTCTGTTTTTTTGGTGGGGAAGTGGGGATCAGAGGATCGTGGGAAAGTAGGGCTGGAAAAGGTCTTGCAAGGTTTAGTCCAGCCCCCTGCTCAAGGCAGGATGGTCCAAACCTAAACCGTCCCATCCATGCATCTGTGCAACCTGCTCTTGAAAACTTGCACAGATGAAGATTTCAGTCTCTCCAGGCATCCTGTGCCACTGCTCGACCATCCTCAGCCAGAAAGTTCCTCCTATTTTCCAACATAAGTTTCCCCTGCTGCAGCTCGAGGTCATTGCTCCTAGTCCTGTCCCCTACCATCCCAGAGACAAGCCCGTCTCCATCCCCTCTCTAGTCGCCCTTCACGTACTTGAAGACTTATCACATCCCCCTTCGGTCTCTTCTCCAGACTGAATAACCTTTGTTCTTTCAGCCCTACCTCGGGCTTCTCGCCTCCCAGGCCCCTACTCATCTTTATTGCTCTCTTGAGAGATGACCTGACTCAAGCCACTGCACCCCATCCCACAGGCACTTGACCCAGATAGTAAGTCCTCCAAAGTCAAGGTCCTGCTAGTAGAAAACCCATTGCTCCACTAAGGAAGAGTCATTCATCATCACACATGGCCCTACCTGGCTTGGTTAGCTCACCCCAAGATGCTTCACACCCCGGCATGAGCACGCGCTGTCCAGAATACAGCGACCCAGTCAGGGCTCGTGCACTTCCCAGCACCACTTGGACAGCCAGCTGCCATACGCAGGTGATAATGCAAAGCACACGCTTCAGAGAAGGTGACAGGCAAAACACAGTTCACCCACCCAGACAGAGCTCACTGCTTAGCACAATCTGCCATAGAGGGTCTGGAAACAAGAGGCACCCCTGCACACAACCATGCTCAGCCAGAGGACTCAGCAGCTACTTGCAATACTTGCCATGGGCAAGATAACAGGAGGATGAAAACGAATGAATCGGGAAGGGGGTGCAAAGGATCAGTGCAATGGCATCATGCATGCATCTCCTTCATGCTGTCTGCCATGGCTGGTGGCATCATTGCTGTGGCTTCGCATTGATGCGCAGGGGCCCAATTCTGGGAAGGGCTAAGCACTCATCTCCTGTGGACATCCAGGGGAGTACCCACCTCCTGGTACAGGCAGCGACCCTTTTGGAAAAGGCGATGGCACCCAGCTTTGTTCTGGAGTTCACTCTAAGCCCTCCACTTCTGCCCCATCGGACCCTGGCTCCATTGAAGTCAAGGGGAGTTTTGCCATTGTTGGCAGTGGCAAGAGCATTTCGCCCAAGAGTTTGGGGAGAAATTGGAGCCAACCCCCCTCCCGCAAATGCACAAAGGGTGATGGCAGGCAGTGCTCTTCCTCAGCCTTTAAGTGTCACAGGTCGCTTATGAAACCTTGGATGGAGGTTACGCCAGCAAATTTCTGCTCCCCTGGACAAACCATCCTCCCTCAGCCCCCAAAGATGCATTTCACTGCAACACAGAGGATCTTAGCAAACCCTCCTGCCTCACTTCCATCTTTACCTTCAGGCAACTGCTGCCTTGAATCAATCCTTTCAAGAAATTATTTCACTGCTAGCATCACAAATCATCATGCCCACTCTCCCCATATGATGCTAGGAGTAACTCCCATTACAGCTACTGAGAAAAATTATTGCTTTGCTTCTGAACCTGCTGCTCGATCTGTCAGTGTGACTCGCATACAACAGCATGAGCATTAAGAGGAAAAACAGCTTCATGAGAAATGCTGCAAGCTTCCTGTGGCTGGTTACAGCTGAACTCTCTCTGAACTTGACTTTCTACTCGTTTAGGCTGAATGACAGCTGGGGCTACACATGCAAGGAAGTGGCAACTGGAAGCCCAGGTGTAAATGCTACTGAGCACATTTAGAAAAGGGGGATGCCCAAAATGTCAAACCAGGTACAACGGCCTTACAGTGCATCCACATCAGCAGCTTCCCACCACCTAGACTGGCAACTCAGGTCAGAGTACAGCTCATATTTAGGA